ACAATGAAGAATATAGAATGGAAAGAAAGCAGATATGTAGGGGAGACACACTGCTATAACAAAGGTACTACAAGCTAAGTAACTACCCTGAAAAAGCTCTTTCACACTAATTTTCCATCCCTATGAAATTTCTAGTTGGGGAATTGTTACAAAGATAGCTCTAGCCTGCAAAGAAAATATGTACAGATGAAGCAAAACACAGGTTGCTATAGAGTAACACACAGGCGTCCCCCTCGGGAGACTAAGAATGAGCAGCAACTTTCCAGGTTGGATGATAGACTTAAAGAAAAAATGATGGAATCGCAGTGGAATGAAGCTCATTAAAATTTCATAAAACATCTTTATTGATATATAATTCACATAATAAAATTTATCTATTTAGAGTGTACCATTCAATCCTGGCTAGAAGATATTGGAAGAATGTGCAGCCATCATCACAATCTAGTTTTAGATTTTAGAACATTTTTGTTATATCTTTTTTTTTTTAAGTTTTTAAAAAATTTTTTTTTATGAGTGCTTTTTTTTTTTTTAAACATTTATTTATTTTTATACAAGAGCTGGGGTATAGGCCAGAGGTGCGGGAGGGTGAGAGAATTCACCAGAGACAGAGTAGGGAACGGAACAAGGAGACTGACGAAATACAATGCTGAGGGGAGCAGCAGACGAGTCAGGAGAGGTCTGCTGCGCCATGTGGGAATCCCCTGGCTGGCTAGGAATCAAACCCATGCTGCAGAGGCTGCAGACAGCTTCACAGCGCTGCGCTCAACCTGCTGCGCCACCAGGGAGGCCCTAGAACATTTTTGTCACCCCCACAAAGAACTGTGGATTCATTAGCTGTCCCACAGGCCTTAGCAGCCATTACTTTCCTTTCTGCCTCCACAGATTTGCCCATTCTGGACATGTTGTAGAAGTGGAATCAGGCCATATGTTGTCTTTTGAAACATCCTTCTTTACCTAACTTCATGTTTTCAAGGTTCATGCCTGAGTGCCCTGTATCAGTACTTCATAATTTTTCACGACTGAATAATATTCTATTGTGTGGATAAGTGGCCTTTTGTCCACCTATTTATCAGTTGGTGGGCTTTTATTATTTTTGTTTTTTTGTCTTTTAGGAATATTTATGTATGGGATTTTGTATAGATTTGTGTTTTCTTTTCTCTTGGGGATATACGTACGAGTGGGATGGCTGGATCCTGTGACAACTCTGTTTAATCTCTTGAAGAACTGCCCAAATGTTTTCCATAGCAACAGACCCATTGTACATTTTTATCAGCAATATATAGTGTTCTCTACATCTTCAACAACATTTACTATTTTCTGTCTCCTTGATTCTAGTATCTTGGTGATATCTTGTGGTTTTGAATTGCATTTCCTAAGTGGTTAATGATTCGAACATATTTTCATGTGCTCATTGGCCATTCGTATATCTTCTTTGGAGAAATATTTATTCAGAATTTGCTTGTTTTTAATTTGGTTATTTGTTTATTTTTTATTGAGGTTTATGAGTTCTTTAAACCTGACCAGTTTCTTGTTAGAGAAATGGTTTGTAATTCTTTTCTCCTATTTATAGGTTTTTGGTTTTTTTGCTTTTTTGATGGTTTAAGAGAGTGAAGTCCTTGGCTCTTACGCCTTGGCTCTTAAACCTTACATTTTTAGTCCCAGATAATCTTAAGCCAATGCCTCTGTGCTGCTTCAATTTTTATAGGATGCTGAGAGCTGTGATTCTCATGCCCTTGTCTTCAAATCCTGACTTCTCTGTTTAGTTTGACAGCATGAAGGAAGTTAAAGTAGTGCTGATTGAGACTAACTTCTTAAACAGCAAAAACAATCACATTTGCTCTAGTCATATACCAGCTGCATTGGGTGAATCTAGAACTATGGGCTAAGTATCAACTGGTTATGCCCTGACAAGCAGCCCCTAAAACAATGTCACTTAGATGGAGCCCTTTCTGCCCTAACTAGAGTTCGGGATCAGCAAAACCTTTCAACCTAAAGTAGCAGCATCACTGCTGTCTCCTCTTGGTCACATCACCATGAATATTTATTTTCTGTTGTGTTAAGAAATTATTGAATTCTTCTTCACATGTTAGCCCCAGATAATCTAATTATGGAGGGCATGATGCACACTGCATGCACTTTAAATCAAGTGTCTACCTTGGATTGGCACCCAAGCAAGCTTCATTATTTCCAATTATGTCCCATGACCATGCCTACATGTTCTCAGTCCTCTGATCTAAAACCTAAAGCTATGAAATGATCTAACAGGATATGCTAAAGACAGAAATTTCCAAGCATGAATGTGCCTTTGTAAACCTGAAATCTCTTGGGAACCCTCTGTGTCCAACATGCAAGAAGACTTTGTTGTGCAAAGCCTGCTTTCAGCTTCAGGCAGTTTTTCAAATCGTAAGTGTACATAGAGTAACTACAGGTCAGATGTTCTGAAATTCATTAATAAAACTGGTGGGAAGCTCCAAAAATTTATGAGCCACTTATGGAGTTCTGTGAGCTGTCAGATCTGCTGTGGACAGATTTATGGGCATTGGTGTCACCACTCATACTTCCCAATGTCCTTTTTTAATACATAGAAACTTATTTAAAACATGATGCTATATGCAAATAGTCAAATTCATGGGGTGATGACAATATTTATTACCTTAGGCAGGGTTTCCCAAAACAGGTCCTGAGACAGAGTTGAGCTCCCAAGAGGTTTATTGCAAGGGCGCTCAGAAACCCTCAGGTTCAGAATGCATTCTTCTCAGCTGAAACTTGACCTGAGTTATGGGATGAAGGATCAAGAGGTGAGGTGGCAATAGGTGTTTCTGGGGACAGTGTCCCTACCAAGCAAGGGGACAGTGTTGTTTTTAATAGAGAGAATGACTCACTTCTGCAGGCCTAGAATTAGGTATTTTACAATTGAAGGGGGAGCTGATATCAGCCTAGATGTCCCTAACTAGAAGTCACCTTCTTTATTGTGAGACCCTCATTCTGGATGTCAGCTTTCTCTGTCTTCTCCCTGCATACTTCTTTGTGCTTCAAGGAGACCTTCTTCCACATTTGACTCTCAATAACTGTAAATCACTCTCAGGTTTTTATTTCTAGAGTATTGACCTATCTTAGTAATAGTTATTGAATTCCATTGTCGTTAATTACTGCTTCCTCCAAACTGCTCACACACTTTACACCAGCTTTCTCATTTCCTTCCACTCATGCACTATCCCAATTTGCCGCTGGAAAGCTTTAACATCCAGATGAGGTGGTACTTTCCTTGGGCTGCAATAACAAACAGGGGGACTTAAACCATAGAAATTTATTCTCTCACATTTCCGGGGGCTATAAATCCGAAATCAAGTTGTCATGGGGTCATGACCCCTCTGAAGACTCTAGGAAACAATCCTTCTTGCCCCTTCCTGCCCCTGTTGGCTCCTGGCCTTAACAATCTGCATCTACACTTCCATTGATTATCTGTGTACATTCTGGGCAAAGCTTCAAACCAGTAACAAGCTGTCTTCCAAATTTTGCACTCAGAAAAGTGGCATCATCTAAGTGAATCACATGCAAATTTTTTTGGCTAGTTTTTTTGTGTATGTTAAATGGATCACAACATGACTTCTGCAAATCCTCAAATCTGTCAAGTAAATTTTCGCATCATGGAAGCAAATCATATTGTTCCCAGAAAGTGTCATTCCAGTTCTAAGTTGAAATAAGTTCGAAGCATGTCATCTGATGACAATTCCAGCAAAGTCCTGAAACCTGTGTGACAAGTATAGTAGGTTTTATGGTACTCATCTGTGCTACAAAGTACCAGTCCAACTGAACATGGATCCATCATTCTTGATTTTAGCAAATTCTCCTGTTGTTTAAAGGTCTCTCTCATAGGTCATATGCTGCTCACCCTTAGTGTGAGTTCTCCTCCACTTGAATTTGGGGATTCAGGTTCATATCTGCCAACTTGATCATGCTTTTCATCCCCATGATACCCTTAATTAAGTTTTACTTTTTAATAACAATATGGAAGTTATTTTAAAATAAGCATTTCAAGAATTAGGGCTAACAGAGCATTCAGAGTTACTAATGAGGAATAAGTTGCCTTTGTTACCTGGTACTGTGATTAGAAGGATCAAAAGCCCAGAAACATAATGTCAGAACTGATGTCAGGCATCCTTCCCTGCACATATAGTCACACATCTGGATTTGGGCTTCAGGAAACATGATGCCCATAACCCTCTTTATGGACGCAGAGGCCTGCACAACCACATGGGGCTCAAGACCATATTGTAAACTCGTTTATCCAGATTTTTTTTACACAAGTAAAAATGAAAATTGTAGTTCAACCGTTGGAATTTAGTGAAAAAGATACAGACATTCTGGCAATCATGAAATACTGAACTTCTTTGAGAAAAGAAGTTGAAGACACTTGCTGCTGAAATTGTGTAATAAGTAGGAAGTCCAAAATTTTCTTCTAACCTAAATGAACCAGGTTTTCTCTAAAGCCAAACAAAAGCTAACCTTCAATTAGATTTCTTTGAGAAATATTTTACTTTTCTCTATCAGCAAAACATACATGCAGGATGCTTTGTACAAAAAGCATAATCCTGAAAAAAAGGTAAGATGGAATTCTAATTTTTTACATTTTGAAAAGCTTCAAGTATCAAAATTAATTTAAAAGATACATTGAACCCAAGAGCATGTAGGTCAGTGTTAACAACAGACTCTGCAGAAGGACAAAGCTCTGGTTCATGGTGTTTGCTGATTTCCACAGTGTAAGTATTCGCTCTGTGATGGATTTCATGCTATCACAGTGACATCACTGAATGGGGAGTTGGGAGGAGAGGCCCACAGTCCACTTTCCCAGTGGAATGCAGCTCCAGTATGTATATCACTGATTTAATCTGATAGCTGTACTTAACAAATATGAACAATTTTTACATGACATTATTTCACAAAAGAAACAAAAAAATATGAATCATGTTGAAGTAAGTCCTCTTTGTTTCTCTGTACAGATCTATAGCCTCCCATTTCCTCTCCCAGAGACACCACTCTCTAGAGTCGGGTATGTATTCTTCCAGACTATGTTTTTTTTTTAATTTTTTTTTTTAAGATTTATTTTTATTTATTTATTTATACAAGCACTGGGTACAGTCAGAAGCGCGGGAGGGTGAGAGAATTCACCAGAGCCAGAGCGGGGAGCAGAGCAGGCAGAAGGACCAAAGTACACTGCTGAGGGGAGCAGCGGGCGGTAGGAGAGGTCTGCGCGCCATGTGGGACCCTCCTCTGGTGGCTGGGAGCAGCCGGGGATCGAACCGGTGCTGCAGAGGCTGCAGGCAGCTTTGCAACCCAGCGCTCAACTGCTGTGCCACCGGGGAGGCCCCCAGACTATGTTTTTATACTTTTACTACACATGAGTATAGTCAATGCATAGTTATGCCTTGCATATTTTCAGTTTTACTTAATGCTATCATAGTATACATACTTCTCGTCAGTATTATGCTTTCAAAATTTATTTATATTGATATATAGATGTAGTTCATCTATTTTAACTGCTGATTGTACTCTATTATATGAAAATATCGCAATTTATCCAGTTTCTCATTAATTCAGTATATTTAGGTTATTTCCAATTGCTAATACAAGTGGTACTGTAATAGTCCTGTGAATGTGCCTTAGTATATAAAGTAAAATGAATGAGTTGTGGGAGATTCTCATTTCTACCTTATTAATATTGACAAATAGTTTTCCTTGTGGTTATGCCCATTTATACTCCTGCAAGTAGTGTATGAGAGTTTCTCATTTCCCTATTCTTGCCAATTTTTAGTGTCACCAGACTGTTTAAATGTTGCCAACCTTAGGGTATTAAATGATATGTTGTTTAAACTTGCATTTCCCAGATTACCGGTTGGGTTGAATATTGTATTAATTAGGGTAAAGGCTAAGCTGCTGTAACTAAGAGCCCTTGGCACCATAGTTTAAATAAGAAAGACATTTCTCTCTTGTATGACAATCTGATGTGAAGCAGTCCAGACTAGTGAAGTGGCTCGGCTCCATATGGTGATTCAGGGATGCTTCAGCTTGTTACACTGCCATCCTTTATAGCATCTTCCCTGTCTTTGTTGTTGAAATTTGGTTTTTGCCATTTACCAACTCTTGGGAAAAGATTGGGAAGTTTGGGAAAACAGTTTTCTTATAGACAAATTAGGCAGAAGTTACAAACATCCCTTGCATTCACTTTCTTAGCAAAACTTTTTTATGGATATATAGGCATATTCTTAAGAGGAGGCCAGGTAATCTAGTTCCAGGCATCCTTGTGTCTAGGAGGAAGGGAAGGTGGTGTTGGGAGGGAGTAACATTCCTTTGTACCCAGGTGTTTGTGGACTTTCTGAGCTTCCTCTTCTGTGACTCAGCTGGTAATGTGTTTTATTCATTTTTATTATGTTTGCCTTTTCTCACTGATTTATAGAATTTTTAAAATATTTTCTAGTGTGTTTATTTAATTCACACAATAAATTTAATCAAATAAAATGCACCAATGTATATACATCACTAAAGTTATTTAAATGTTTTTTATTTAAATAAATCATCTCATATTCATTTGATTAAATAAGTTTTTTTTTAACAAAATGAATAAGATTTGATTGTACATTCCAAAGGCAAATATGCTCTGGCTGAGATCAGGTCCAAGCTGAGACTTTATGTACTTTATGTACACCTTAGGATAGCAGATAACACCCTTGCTTCAAAGGTAACACCATGTCTAGCCTCATAGCCCTGAAGTGTTACAGCCAGGAAGAACTCCAGGTCATCCCTTTCTCTCCTACTGGCCCATCTGTCTCCCAAGTAATCAAGTTCCTAAACTTTTTATTTGGTGTAGTAAAATTAGACCATAGATATGAAGAATTGAAATGAAGATCATCTCATAGATGGATAATATATATTAAATTAAAATGTATATTCCTAATTGCTGAATGGAAACCATGTAGCTAGACAATATACCTGACTAAGTAGATCATCAGGGATACTCTACACAAGAAATTAACACAAGAATTATTATTCTTATTAGAAGTCTCATTTCTTATGGTTGACTGTGTTCTAGGGACTATGCTGAGCAGATTTTATATGACCTCATTTCCACTCTATTATGCCATTATTTCAAAGTAAAAGTAATGTACTCCAGGAATCCCAGAATCTGGAGTGTCATCTGGTCTTACTACAGCAGCTTTTCCATTAATGTAATTGTCTTCACCTCATAGGATTTACGTAATCTCTTATTTGTACTTCTATTTTTTCCCCCCCTTGGGAGAATGAGGCAATAATAAACTAACTGCTTGGTTCACAGATACTAGAGATAGAAGGGACCTTGAGAAGCATGTGTCAGTCCTTTGCCTTCACATGATTATGCACAGGAGGGTAGGAGAAGTTACATTATGTCCTTGAAGCCACACAGCTAAAAAATTAGCAGAATCAAAGCCACCGTTCAGGTCTCCTATTAAGATCTCCTTATTCCTTCTCATCGACATGAGAGCACTCTTGCTCTCAGTGTGTGCCGAGATGTGGCCCATCTGTGTTACTGGTTCTTAACAAGTTGTACCTTCAAAGCATGGAATGAAGGGGGTGGGGGAAAATGAAAAACTGTCTCTGTTAATAGCATACTGTGTTTCTGACTGGCAAATTTGGAAGAACTTGTGAAAGGCAGCAAAATCTAAAAGCTGGCTCAAAAAAAGTATCATTGCAAGGGTCAAGATCACAGCCTTCTTATCCAAACCCCAGTATCCTGCCTAGATGATGAAACAAACTTACTTCCTTTCTGCTTCATCCCTTCTACCCAGGCATGCCACATCTTTCTTCTCATCTGCTAACTTCCTAACCTCAGGACAGCTTGAGAATGCAAGGATGCAGTATAGGATTAAAGAGGGAAAGTGCTAAGGGAACACTCCTGTCTGTCTCAAGTAGCTTCTAAGATGCAGCAGCGGTAATTATAGTAGAGAGGGCTCACTTTAGTGGGTTGGGGGTTGGGAGGGAGATCTCTTCCTGGTGACTACTGAACTGGTCTTTCCTGGCCCACTAATAAACTTTCTTGAATGACAGAGAAATAGCCTCTCCCACCATGAAAAGAGGCAGTCCTAGATCTGAACAAATACAGTTCAAGCATTGATTTAATACAGGTGCTAACACAACAGGGAAAAGGTGGACAAAAGGGGAATATTTGGGGGAGAATGAAGGAGAAAACAAAGGAAAACATAAAAAGACCAAAAACTGGCAGCATAGATTTATCTTGTGACACGCATAACCATGTCAACAAGAACATGTAAAATGACTCTAGAATCAATACAGAAAACATGGAGCTTTAGCAGAGGATAAAGAACTCAATCAAAGATAAAGCTTGCTCACCCAACTATGAAACCATCATCTATCTAGTAAGGAGCAATTGAAGCTCAAACCACACTCATTTTGGGTTTGAGATAAATTATAGATCTGTAGTTAGGCACATAGATTTAATTAAATATTTAGTCATAATATGACCCATACCATGCTTGCTGAATTATACTTAAATTACTCCCCTTGCATTTAAAGTGTCATTAAGAAACTGGGGAGTGAATGAAGGGGTGGGAGAAGGTGGGAGAGGGGAGGAGAGTCCCAAGAATAAGCTGCATTCTGCAATGGGGATCACAGGACAAGAGAAGACTGTCCTATACTGAGACTCTCTGTACCTTTACTTAGCTGCAGGGAGGAGGGTTTGATGACGTTAATGTCCCCACATGGATGCCCTATCAGCGGATTTGAAGGTCAGCTGCTGGATTGAGTCAGGAGTGAGTCAAATCCCCACTTCACCCAGAAACAAATGACAATGGAGCCTCTCAGGGCATAGGTGTGAGTCATGCTTGAGCATCAACCCATGCAAAACAACACCACGACACCACCACTACAGTCCACTATTTGGCCCTCTTGGGGGCCGTGATTGAATCTGCTCTATTAAGTTAACCTTTGCAAGGTCAACATCTGTTACTTACTTTTTGGCCAGCTAGCATCTCAAAAATGAGCATATACGGCTTGGTTAATGAGGCTTTGATAATAGAATCTGTGTCCTGATTAAATTTTGTGCAGTATGTGTTTGTGGACAACTGTATCTTGCTGGGTTTCTCAGATTTGTCAATTATATGCCAAATATTACAGCAAATACTCTTTAAAAACTTGTCCTACAGATATAGTAGCATTAAGTATATGATAGCTTCCTATATACATATATATCTACATATTCATGTATGTATAATATGTTCAATGCTCATATATTTGAAAGTACATGGTCTGCATATGCATATCTAGAGACACATGTGTATATAACATAAAGTTTTTCACCGCAGCGTATTTTCCAGTGCTAAACACTTAATAATAAATTCCAACAATAAGATATTTTAAATTAGATTATGGCCCATCTTTAAAGTAGGATATTATGGAGCTACTGATACTGATGAGAAAAATGGTGTATTGATATGGGTATTAGCACACATGCTATATTTTTTTAAACATGCTTAAGCTTTGTTAAACAAAAGAAAACCATGTGATAAAAAATTGCTATAGGGTTCCATTTAAGGGACAGATATAAATATATTAAAGCTTAGACAGTCTCTGGAAAAATAAGGATATCAAACTATTTACTGGGTTAGGCATGGGAGAAGATGGAGAGATGTGAGGGAGAATTTGTTTTTCTTAATGTATCTTTTAAAATAAATCAAACATTAAAGAAAGACACAATAAATGCATCTAATATTCAGAGATCAAACTATCATTATTAAGTCACTAGCTGCAGAAAATATACTTTAAAAATGGTTCCAAGTAGCCATAAATAAGGATTCAAGTGCCCCCAAACCAACTTCATTGTTAGTGTTATCACACTGTGCTTTCTCTTTAGCACCATTTTCAAGGAATCGGGCATTCTCTTCCTAGATATTTTCTTTCTCAATAATTCAGGCAATCATTGATCTAATAGTGAAAGGAAGCTGAGACACTGTGCCAGATATTACTCATGCTTCATAAATTGTGTGCCCAAGGGAATATGAC